GGTGGTGGTGGTGATGATGATGGTGATGAAGGTGATGGTGGTGAGGATGGTGATGATGAAGGTGATGGTGGTCATGGTGGTGGTGATGATGATGGTGATGGTTATGGTGATGGTGGTGGTGATGGTGGTGGCAAGGTGATGTTGATGGTGGTCACGATGATGGTGGTGATGGGATGATGAGGGTGATGATGGTGACAATGGTGATGGTCTTCATGGTGATGGTGGTGGTGGTGATGGTATAGAAATGTTACAACAAAACTTTTCAACTACTCCAGGTAATCAGGAAGAAATAGGATAAAAAGAGAAAATCTAATTTTAGGCAATAGTTTTAACCTGCTTTTATTCCCAGATTTGTGAACAATTTAACAAGTATCAAAATGCCCTGATTTGGGTTTCATTTATTCACCTGACCCCTGCCCGTCCTCTACTAACAACTGGTCTCCTTTAGAGCATTCGTTGAATATTTGTGGGTATGGACTCCATCCCAGGAGCAGTGTTGGATCTGGGGACGTAGTTGTGCCCAGGAGAGAGCCAACCCATTCCCGGGATACAGGCACTGTGCTGCTTGGCAACGTGTCTCCATCCTCACACCTTACGCTCTGCGGCACCGTGTGCGTTTTCGAGTACTTTTGTACATATTACCTCATTTGAAAGTGGAGAACTGGGGTTTCATCAGGTGTCCCTGGGGACTTTTCATGCTGCTGTTGTCTGTTGCCCTCGGTGGGAAGTGTGTCCTGAAGGGCGTGCAGTCATGCTCGAGCTCAGACACTCACACGGAGCCTTTTTCCACAGAGGAACAAGCAAAGGCCAAGGGGAGGTGGCACTCCTGACCAGGGGCAAGTCACACAAAAGGGCCCCGAAAAATGTCAGTTTTCTTCTCTTTTAAAAATCGGCCTGATGCGAGAATTTTGAAACAAACATCTGATGGTGGGGTATAGGGTTTGCACTAAATCTAACTTTGCAGATTATCTTTCTGTTCGTGTATTTCCATTAGCATTGGCAGGTTTTCATTCAGAAGAAAACAGATTTATTAAAAGGCTGGCTGATGCTCCAGAAGAAGTAGATGGCCTGCAATACGTGTGGCCTGGTGCCGTGTGCAGAAGTGAAGTCATTCTGGCTGGCTAGACAGAGGGTGTGCTTGAATCCCTGGTGCGAGGCACAGTGCCCTGCTGTCTTGGGAAGGCAGACTCATCAGAAAATCATGCCAAGGTTTGGGCTGTGGTTAATATTACCAGCCAGTCATTTTTCTGTAGGTTTGTTTCTGGGGCAAGTTGCCTTGGCATTTCCAACGATCACGTTGAGCATTCTGTCATTTGTTCTTCTTGGGGTTCACTTGTTTCTGGTGATTGTTGTTGACAGAACCTTTTGAAGATGCTCTCAGGAACCAGTCCTTGGGGCCTGCGCTGAGCAAAGCAGCCTCGGTGGAGTGCATCAGCCCCGTCACCCCCAGAGCCCCAGATGCCAAGATGCTGGTGGAGCTGGAAGGGGAGCCTTGGTACCAAGGGGAGATGAGCCGGAAGGAGGCTGAGGGACTGCTGAAGAACGATGGGGACTTCCTGGTCAGGAAGAGCGCCACCAACCCAGGTTCCTTCGTCCTCACGGGAATGCACAACGGCCAGGCCAAGCACCTGCTGCTCGTGGACCCGGAAGGCACGGTGAGCACGGGGCGGGACACGACCTGCCTCCTGACAACAGTCTCCCTTTGGTCTCTGTGCTGGGTGACCACACTTTCCCTCCACTACCCATGCGGGCCGGCTGAGGTCTTGGCGGCCACTCCTCCGGGACCCGGGAGCCCAGGCGCAGAGGGCTTGTGAATTCAGGCCAGCACCGGGCTCGCGCTTGGAAAATCACGAGGCGTGAGTTTCCAGCTTTAACGCTGATGTCCTTTACAATAAATAAATACAAATACTGAGAAAGTCTTCCTGTCCAGTACATTCTTAGTGGATGCGGAAGGGCAGGGGTCCTGGGCTTTCAGTATTCACCTCAAGTATCTCTAGAAGTGGAGTCACCGAGTTTGTGTTCCTAGAGTGCACGCCGTGATGAGGCCCTACATAAAGCCCCTATTAATTAGCCTCTTGCTTTCCCACTCGGGGAAGGCACACCGCGTGACAGTGAGTTTGGCCTTTCCTGGCAGCATGGTCGCGTCTAAGAGCTCTGTGGGTTTGCCTGCATTTCGCATCCTCCAGCCAATAAAGAGATTCGACTTGATCTTGGCACAGTCCAAGAATTATTAACTTGAATAAATATAATGACATTAACTGAACCGTTAAATAAATTCCAGGATTGTTGTTTAAAACCCGTTATCCAGTGAAAACAAAAATGCAGGTAACGTGATCAAACGTTGCCTGTCCTGACTGACAGGTAGGGACGAAGCCTCAGTCTTTGGTTGGACTTGAACACAATTTAATTTAATTTGGTGGCGGGGGACCGGACCTAATTTACGGCTTCAGGTGTCTGCACCTCGGCTCTGTGCCCCCTCTCCCCTCTGCACCTGGACGACTCCTCCCTGGGAACGTAATGTGAATCCTTCCAACCCACCTTCTTCGGTGGTCGTGGGGATTTTTCCCACAGATATACGTCGGGGAAAATAGATACTGTGTGTCTGTGCATCTTAGAAGTTTGCAACCATGATAGTGCCCCTCAAGTCCCATTTCATTTCGTTCGTTTTTCCCTCCGCACGTGTTTTTGAGATCTGTCTGTGGTGCTTTCCACACGCGGAATCATCACTTGGCTGGGCTGCCGGGCGTCCCCTGTCCGCGGCCATGCGTCACTTGTGGAAATGTCTCGGGAAGGGCTGAAGGCACTAGGAAGCCTCCTGCGTGTTTCCCCACGATGGTCTTTCTGGGGCACATCCTAGGACTGGGGTTCTTGCTCACAGGATGTGCGTATGGTGTTACCAGGGGCTTGTGTTTGCTTCCGGAATGGCTGGACTACTGGGGGCGAGGCAGCCGAACACAGGCTTCCCTCCTCCTCCTCCTCCTCATGTCGTCCTCCCAGCATGGCGCATCTGGGGCATGTGGCAAGGAGGAAAGCGTGTCTCCGTTGTTGGCTGTGTCGTCCTTCAACCCCGCGTCCACAGGTTCCTCCTGGAAACGTCACATTCCCACCTTTCCACCATGCTTCTCTTCTGATCGTCTCCCTGGACCCTTCTGCTGAGTTTCTCAGACATAGAATTTCCATATGAATGCTCCCACTTTTTCACATATCTGATCATTTTGTCCATGATGTTCTCCACCAATTAGAAGATTCCCTTTTATAAAGGTTTACAGTCTTGAGTTTTAGAAGATTTCCTCACCTGCAGTCACAAACATACTGTGTTCTATGTTTTCTTCGTTTGGCTTTGAAAGCTTTATTTTTCACATTTATGCTTTAATTCTCACTAGAGGTACTTCGAAGATGACCTAAGATAGGGACACCACGTTGCTTAGATCTCCAGGCAGTGAGCCAACGTTGGGTCATTACGGATGGTCCTTGTGTTACGCACTCTGCGCTCTGCACGTCCAGCTGTTTCTCAAGTGTCTGCCCTGTTCTGTCCAGCTGACCATTCAGTCCTGGTACAAGTACCACGCCGTTTGGTCATTATGGCTTTGAAACATCTGGCTTAACACCTTCTTCTTGAAACTCCTTTTTGTGTTCTCTAGTGTAGCTTTCTCAGACCTTTATTCCGCTTTGTTCTGGTTTCAGAGTCAGTTTATCCAGGCACCGAAAATGCATGATTTTGGTAGGACTGGCGTTGAATTTACAGATGAGTTTCAGGGGAGTGCTGATAGTTTTTAGCATTAAATCATCATGTCCACGAACATGGCATGATCTCTACTTATTTAGTGTTAAGATGTCCTTTGTTAGAATTTAAAAATTCTCTCCAGGAAGTTCTTGTGCTTCCTCTGTTTGGTTCCTTCCTAGAGTGTCTGGTTTTAATTTTGTAAGTGGTGTGTTATTTTGGTTACGTTTTCCCAACGATGATTGCTGCAGGGAGAGGAATGTGGTGTGATCTCATGCCCAGAAATCTTGCTGATTGCAGAGGTTTTTCCAGAACAGTGGTCGTGCCATGGCAAACACCAACAGCCATGTCTCCTGCCTTCCCGCCTCTGACCCTGCGGGATGGTCTCGCCCCACCGCGCTCACCGGGCGCCCTTGGGCGTTGACCGGGAGAGGGCGCCCTTGTCTTGTTCCCAGCCTGTAAGGGGCTGTTGGAGGCTTTGTTCCATTAAGAATGATGCAAGCTTTGGGTAGATTGTCTTCATCAGCCCAAAGGATGTCATTCCCTCATTCATTCACTCACTGCACAATGGTGCACCGAATAGCTACCAAATCCAGGCATTGGTTTTGACACCTGGGCTATGGCCAAGAACCTGTTACAAAACGCACCCTCTGCTTGTGTGGAATTTGTACATATTAATTTCTTAATTACTTTTGTGATATTGGATTTTATCAAATGCTTCTTCAGCATCGCCTGAAATAATGTAATAATGATGTCTTTTCTTGAGTCCGTGAACATGGGGATTTGCACAGGCAGGTTTTTCTGATGCTACGTCCTGGCATGAGCCCTGCTGGGTCCTGACATAGTCTTCATGAGCTGCGTTGCTGGATTTGGGGATCTAACACTAACTTTAGGGTGTTTCCAGCTGTGCTTCCTAAGTGAGGTTGGTCTTCATGGTCTTTGCTGCCTTTTGCTTGTGTTACTCATCTGGTTGGGGTGTCAACATTATAGGGTTATGTTCACCTCTTACAACAAGCTAGGCTCACCCCGGATCAGAGAAGCCTTCCCTCCCCGTCGCATCTCACATAGAATCCCCTTGAGGGCCCCTATTTATGCACCGTGATTTATTTTCACCTTGAAGCCCTTATCACAAACGGGCGCTCATTTATTTGCTAACCTGCTTATTAAGTGGTTTCCCCCCCTGGATTGTCATCTCTGTGAGGCGAGCAACCCTAGTCAACGCGCTACCCCAGCACCTAGAAGAGCGGGTGCTCGACATGCATGTGGCAGGTGAAGGAGGCGCAGAGGGACATGGGGCTTTCGCGGGAGCTGAGAGCCCCAGAGTCCACATGGTGCTAAGGGGCCCGAGCTACTGATGGGGATGTCATCACAGATAAGCTTTTCTAAACAGAATCCGTGCAGAGCGATTTCCATTTGCAAGGGCTGCTACTAATGCATCTCTGTTTTCTGAAAGAAAATACCCAAGCAAATCTGTGAAAAGATAAAAATTGTAATTGAAACTTCAGGTATTTTTTAAGGATGAGAAGTTCATAGTTTACCTAAATTGTACCATCTCATAGAGCGAAGACAGTTAATGTTTTATTTACTCAGTCCTTACAGACACAAGGATGATTAAGGAAGGACAGGTATGACCACTACCATTCACACGCGCACGGGGGGCAGGAAAGTGCCGCAGGTGGGGGGGGGGCCAGGCTGCGGCCGTGAGCTCACACCAGGTGCTGGAGCGAGCCCCGACCCCAGGCTGTGCTGTCCACGCGGCTTTAATTTCGGAGGAGAAGTCTGTAGTGCCACTGAGAAAAACTGTAAGTCCCACCTCCTAATAACTGTTCTTTTGGGAGGCTTTTTGCTGGATCTGCTGATCTAGTTTAATTGATCCAGTGGAGGAGGGCTTCAGCTGAGAAAGACTTAATCACAAATGTAATGTCGCTTCCTTGCTGTTAGGACACCAAAATAGACGATGAACACATTCTCTTCAATATTTATTCATCTGATTTTCATGGTAATTGGTTGGTCCCTGACTATAAAGGGGGAAACTTGGCAGAACAGATTACTCAGAGAAAGAAGGATGCAAAACAGTTCTGAGTCTAAATTTACTGCAGAGTACACCAACCTGTGCGCCTTCCCACTGCACACTGGTCGTGCAAGACGGGGGCTCCTGGGGTCGCTGGAACCTCGGGGCACGAGGAGGGCAGTGGCAGGGCTCCTGAGTCCCGGGCAGGTGTGGGGCCGCAGCTGGGCCGACGCCGGCGCCAGGCTCTGCAGGAGCGTCTCCAGAGGTGGAGTCTGGAGCTCTGGTTTCTTCTGCAACATCTTCACCATCATTCAGTCAGCCTTCTTGAGCCTAAGATATTCCCTGAGGCCCCCGTCCTGGATTCGTCCCTTTGGCGGGAAGGGCCAGCAGAGCGGGGCAGGCACGTGCTTGCGTTCGAATGAGAGGCACCTGCACCGTGGCTGGTGTTCCGTGGGCTTCCCGAACGTGGTCTCGGGGCGTGGCACCTTAGAAAAGCACAAGCTGGCTTTGCATTTGGGAAATCACAAAACAATGCCAACCGTCCAACACCCCACATTTATTAGGATTTTATTTTATTCTGAGAGTAATTAAGAAAACAAATCTGCCCTATCCTTCCACTTAAAAAAGCCTTGTTATTTTAAAATTCCCTTTGTCTCAGGCCAACTAGGCTATGCTGAATTGACAAATGACTGGTTTGAGCTGGGTGTGTGTCAGGAGGCCCTTCTTCCCCCCAGGTCCTTGGTTGGGTGACTCGGGTCCTGGGGGGCCTCTGTCTCCCGGGCCTGCCTTGTTAACCTGAGGGCTCCAAGGAGGAGAGAGGGGTGGAGAGAGCAGGGCTGTCGGTGGCCTCGCCGGGGACTCTTCGGCCCACATGGACCTGACTGCAGGGGACACGAGAGCCGTGCAAGGTGCAGCTGGTGGGT